TTAGTAGATTGAGGCAATAAGCCTCGGCCACAACAATTAAATCAGGGGAACAAAATCTACTGTTACAACTCTATTTTCTATAATTGCTATTATTTTATCAGCTGACTGAGTCAAGGTCCAGTCTGTCCAGTCCTCCAATCTAGTACCAGAAGCCTCTCATTTACCTTTGTCCAAATTCTCTATGACCCTTGTGGTTTCTTCTCCTTAGTGCCCACCACTGTTACTCCACATTATCTGGGCCTTCTTTACCTGTCTGGGGTGACCCTTCTGTGTTAATGTCTTCAAACTTCAAAATGGAGGCCTTTGTCAGGGCCTCTTCAGGAAGGCATGGAATATGTCAGGCTTGTGTCATGGCTGTCAGGATCATGCATTGGTTGGTGAAGGCCATCTCAAAAAAGTTAAGAGAAACTCCATAGGCATGTCCTACAGAGCTGAAAGAGCCATGACCTCCTCCCTCAGCTCCTCTGTCCTGACAGCTGCAGAAGTGTGGGTAGAGCCTGAATGCATATTGTACCTGGTTTTCAGGAGTATGATCCTGAGGAACCATGGAAGCAAAGATACAATTAATGACAAAAAGCTTAATAAGCCCATATTCTCTGTGACAAATTGACCTCTTGTAATGCCGGGATCACAGGACCCTCAGAGACCACCAGGAGACAACTCGATGAAATAGCAAGAGAGCTTTATTACAAAAGCAATTGAACTCAGGACCCAAGTCCCATTGATACAGCAATAGAGAAGTGGGACCTCAAACTCTGAGTGAGCAGGGGTTTTAAAGGGAAAGACTGCAAGCAGGGACAGCAAGCAGGGGGCACAACCGATTCTCATTGATTATTGCCAGGGAGATTGTCTCTATTTTCTATCAAGTATTTATTTTGTGATAATTTTTGGGGGCCGTTACTGGGAAAGTTAACTTTATTTTCTGCCAGGTGCACATTCTGTGATATTTCCTGGTACCTGAGTTCAGCTCCCAGTCAAGATGGCTCCTCATTTCAAAACTGGAGTCACTTAAACTCTTCATTTCCCCCTTTCCTTTTACCTAAAAAAGCCAATCTTGAGCTCTCCTGAAAATCAGGTACAATATGTGTCCAAGCTCTACCCAAATGAGACTGAGCATGTAGACTAGGTTACATCAGAACCTCCTGGACCTGCCTCCAAAGTGCTGGAATTCAAGGCTCCTGCCAAAAAGCCTGGCATCCAGGAAACATTTGAAAAGAGAATATCTGAAGACAAGTGGGCTGAGCAGTACGGTGATATCAGATTGGCTGCTGTACAATTCTAGGAGCTTGTGATGAGTTTGAGGAGCTTCTAGGAGGTTGTGATGAGCCTGGTTCACAGAGTCAGCCCTGTGCGTCATAGTCCCTGTCTCAACAAGAAATAAGTTACCAGAAAGACAGGATCCTCCCTTCCACACACACTATATTCTCCAAAGTATTATTACAGATCAAGTCTCCCCATCCCAGGCTTCAAAGCTTTGAAGTAAACAGCAATGACCTCCATTTGGTAAACTCTTTTCAGTCTTTTCCAGGCATGTTCACTCTGTTGAAGGTAGAATGTGGGTAGGGTGGACATACCACATTTTCATTGTCCTTAAAAGGTGGTTAGTATACTTTTGCTGTGAAAGAATGGGGCTCATCTTTCTGCTTCCTGGACTTCACCTTCCAAGTAGGTATGAGAATCAGTAGGTATGAGAATAGCAAAGGTTGGAACTGGGTGGAACAATGTGAGTATGAATGACTGGAGAAATTCCACATGCTGTCAGTGTAGGCAGTGTTGCTTTTGAGACTACCAAATAGATTGTGTCCTGGGGTAAGTTCAAATGTCCACCATCAACTGGATGGTGACGGGTGCTTCCTGCAAAGAGTTGAGAGCATTGCTCAGAGACTCTGAAGAGATATTCTGTCCTTAATGCTTCCCAGGATCATCACGTTGAACACCTATCAGGATGAGCTTCCAGACCCTACTTATGCTTCAAGAGCAGGCCATACAAAGGATGCTGAAACCAAAGCTTTGGCCTCCTCTGCTCTGGAGGACCTGCCCATGGAGGCCTTCACTGATAGATAAAGCTTGTGAAAGCTCTGGTGGCAGCCTAGCTCTTCTCCTGCTTCCATGTGGGGGTGGTGATGAAGATCCCCAACCAGAGACCTTCTAGGTTTTGTAGGATGAAGTAGACTTGTGGCTGACATTGAAGTTTCACCTCTGGTAGGCAATAACTATGGAATACAGAATGTCCCATAGTGAAGTATAGGGAGGGACATCTGGGCACTGGGAAAATGGGGTCAAAGGTGAATCAGAGGCTCCAAATGGTCTCATCCTGGTGGGCTGCAGAGGCCTTGGCAGATGTTGAGTCTTTGTAGTTAAGTATGAGATAGAGCTTGGAGCAGATGTAGCCACAGTAGAATGAGCCTGTCCCTGCCTCTCCACCAGCTGATAGTAATAGGAGCAGGGTGAAGTGGAGAGTAACTGAATTAGGGAATATGGACATGTCTCCATCTGCAGCTCAGGCAGAGTCATTGATTTGCAGGTGTGAGGTGCTATGTGGAGATCCAGCCCTGAAAACATAAACGTGAACAAGACAGAGCAGAGCAGGGAACAGCTGAGGGAAACCAACACCCTCTTCTGGCTTCTGCAAGCATCAGGCATGTAGGTGGTACTCAGACATACATTCAGGCAAAAGCAATCCTATACATAAAATGAACCTTTCAAAAATTTCTCATAAATGAAAAACATTTATAGATATTTAATCACAGGAAAGGCCCATTCCGTTGAGCAAAAATAAAATACTCCTCAGATACATCTTTTATCTTAGTTCATCACATTTATTTGTTTAACAGTTGTGGTGGTGGCTTAATTTACCCCACTTTTTCAGGGTTTATTCTCTGCTTCCCATTCAAAACCTGCCTGGCTGTCATCAGCATAGAAGAATTGGATTGTCTGTGGGGACTCGATGTGTGGCACCCCTCAGGTGAAGTGTGATTTTCCTCATGCTCGACACAAGCCCTGTAGGCAGCCCTTGCTCACTGGATGCTCTCGGCAGGGGCAGACACGGTGCTAGTTACTGCCGTTGTTTCACTTATTTTTTGCAAACTATACATTCCTTTAGTGTAGTTGTACTATATGAATACTATTTAGTACCAAGTTAATATGTTGCTGGATTTGCTGCCTTCTGCTCGTTGTGTGGTGTTCAAAGCAGTCTGGATTCTTGTTGAGTTACTGGACATTTAGCAGACACAATTTTGAGTAATTGTGGCCGTTTATTTGGGTTTGCTCAGTTAGACCATTAAGTCTCATGATGTCTAGTAGCGACTCCTCCGTTTGCTCTTGAGCAATTTAATGTTCATTGACTAAAATGGGAACTTAAAGATGAATTAACATTTCGTTTTAGCAGTGGCTCAAAAGAGTTTTCAGAAATAATTATAATTAGTTGTTCTTTCCTCTTCACTCTCGTTCCAGCCTGTGAGCTGTCTTTTCCCAACCAGGATGGTTCAATAAATTTAGCAAGTGTCCAAAGATTTATTTTTATTATTTTTAATTTGTATGTGTTTCTCTGTGTGGACATGTTTGCAGGAATGAAGTTGACCACAGAGACCAAGAGAGTTGGAGCCATGTGAACCTGGAATTAAAGGAGCCATGAGTGGATTAAGATGGCTGCTGTGATCTAACTTGGTTCCTCTGTTTTGAGACATGATCATTCTTTGTAGCTAGGACCTCTGTGATACTCCACCTCTCAGTAATGCTCATGCCTCAGTCTTCCTTCTGCCAGCACTATTGTTATGAGCCAATGCACATGTGACCAACATCGCTCTGATCATGCCTTAGATTAGGGTTCTGGATAAGAAATCCACACAACAATCTCCTAAATATGTCTTCAGAGGACTGTATAACTTTATAGTCACAATTAGGATATCTGTTCTACAATAAAGAGCTGAGTTGGATACTCTGTGGCCTGTTGTGTTAGCTACTGAGAAAGTCAAGGCAGGAGGATGGCTCCTGCATCCGTTAATGTTAGGCAGGGTTTCTGAAGATGTAGTCCAGTTGGGATTGAGCTTGCCTGCCTAGAATCACAGGTTCTGGGCTCTCTTTTCAGCACTGCATCAACAGACATGGTGGAACATACCTGCTATCCCAGAATTCAGGACTTTAAGGCCTGAAGGTGAGAACTGTAAGGTCATCATTGGCTAATAGCCACTTGGAAGCCAGCTGGACTACTCAAATCTGGTTCTCAAAGCAATTTAATAACTGTGTCTAGGAGGGAAATGGGTCTGGTTCCTTGTCAGAAGGTAGTTTTAGAGAAGGCCAGCCCAGCACACTGAATAGAGAAATGAAAACATGGCTGAGATCTGAGCCTGACTTGATCACACACATCAGTAATCCCAGTGTCTAGAAGCAGAGGCAGGAGGATCTCTGTGAGTTAGAGGCCATGTTGATCTGTATAAAAGTTCCAGGACAGCCAGTGCTCCATATTAAGACCTTATTAAAAAACAAACAAACAAACAAACAAACTAACTAACAAAAAAAAAAAAAAAAAAAAAAAAGCCAGAGTGGGGGTGATATGATCCAGGATGGTGGCTCACACTTACCACAACAAGAGACAGAAACAGTGGTCACTGCTTTGAGTCTAGCCTGGCCAAACAAACCAAAACTTCAAAACAAAACAAAACAACAAAATAAAGAACAAATAATTAGTCAATTGAGGCTGTGCAACCGTTTAATTCCAATGCTTTAAAGGCAAAAGCTGACCAATTTCATGGCCACTGTGGTGTACACAGTGATTTCCAAGCAAGTCCATGCCACATGTTGAGGGCACGTGTCACAAAATAGGGGCTGGTGATGCCTAGGGACTTAGGAGCACAGACTGCTCTTTCGGAGGACTGGAGTCACAGCATCCAAGCCAGGGGCATATAACCACCTGTATGAACTCCAGATGCCGAGAGATTCTAAGGGATGCAACTTCTCCAATCTCCTTGTGCTCCTTCATTCCTATGAATGCAGCCAGTAAATCAAAAAGGAGGCCGGCTTTGTCGTCTCTGCAAGAGCCACCGCATGAAGTATTCATTGTAAGAATTGAGACGTGAAGACTTGAAGGTATATTCAATAACCACCTTCAAAGGCTGATTCACCCCGGTTGTGGGATCTTTCTCCCCTGGCTTGATCTGGGGAGAGCTAACATCATCCTTCTTTCCAGCTGTTCCTTCCCAGAAGTCATGGTGGGCGTCCTGCAAATCCAGCACTTCAAGTTTCCCCCTCCTGTGGGTCAAACAAGGAGATTCAGATGGGTGAAGAATCAAATAACATTCCTTGATCCTATGTCACAGCCTCCCTCCATTACATTCTCTTGAATTTTCACCCACAGTCTTGCCCTCCACACTAACTCAGACTCACTCACTTAGGCTGAACCTTCTGTTGACTCAGCAAATCCACTCCATCCAGCACAGCATGGAAGTTATCAACATGGAAGCTCTTCATCAGGGCACCAATAGGGAGGCAGGGGTAGGGCCAGGATGCTACCATGGACTTCAGGATCCTTCTGCGTCTCTTAATGAAGGCCTCCTTGAACACCAGTGGGAAGAGCTCTGTGGGCATGCCCTCCAGAGTGGAGACAGCCAAGTCTTCATCACTGAGCAGCTCCTGCAGTGACAGCTGCTGGAGTGTGGGTATTGCCTGGCAGCTCATCCTGAGGGATTCAGGTAGAGGGATCCTGTGGAAACATCCAAAATGATGATAACCTTCCAGGCCAAACTTCAGGAAGACCTTTCCTTCTCCCTTTACAAAAAGCAGCTCTTGATCAGGGAAATCAGCAGAAACCTGATTTTCCCATTTGTAAAAATTGAGCTTTTACATCACGGGGTTCAGGGTAGTGGAGGTGGGAGAGCAGCATCAGAGAGAAAGAGGGTCCAAACACTTTTGCTCTAGGAGTACCTGGGCTAGGAGCTGGTTGCTTCTAACATTTCCCTCTGTGCTTCAACTGTCAAGATTTCAGGATGTTTGGGGTCACTGGTTGAAGAGATAACCTCTGACCTTCCTTAACTCTTAACTGTCAGGTTGGCTCTGTCTACCATACTTTTTAAATATTTTTTTTGTTAGTTATTGTTTTTTGAGACAGGGTTTCTCTGTGTAGCCTTGGATGTGCTGGACTTGCTTTGCAGAACAGGCTTGCCTTGAACTCACAGCCATCTGCCTACTGCTGGCTCACTGAGTGCTGGAATTAAAGGCTTGTGCCACCACACATGTAAAGCAAGAGCTTTTAAATTATAGCAAGGTTTTTCTAAGAATCAGGTGTCTGTCATGTATAGCTATTGTTATAGCTTGTATAGTTGTTATAGTATTGTATAGCTATTGTTATAGTCTTGTATAGTTATTGTTTGTTTCTAAATTCATATGGTCTTACCCTGGTTTACACTTGGGCCTTATCCTTGGACTAAACCTAGAATGGATGAATTTCCTTGATTTGTTTCAATCATGTTTTCCTTCTTGGTATAATTGACATGGAGGTTCACAGAAATCATACCAGTTTTTATGTGATTGCAGGAGGGTTCTTTTTTTTTCTTTATTAATTATACTTTACTCACTTTGTATCACCCCCCCCCATGGTTCCCTCCCTCCTCCTGTCTCAATCCCTCCCTTCCTCCACCCTCTGCATGCATGCCCCTCCCCAAGTCCACTGATAGGGGAGGACTTCTTTTCCTTCCTTCTGATCCTAGTCAATTAGGTCTCATCAGGAGTAGCTGCCTTGTCCTCTTCTGTAGCATGGTAATGCTGCTTCCCCCTCAGGGGGAGATAATTAAAGAGCAGGCCAATCAGTTCATGTCAGAGACAGTCCCTGTTCCTATCACAATGGAACCCACTTGGATACTGAACTGCCATGGACTACATCCGTGCAGGGGTCTTAGGTTATCTCCATGCATAGTCCTTGGTTGGAATAGCAGTCTCAGGAAAGACCCCTGTGCTCAGATTTTTTGGTTCTGTTGATCTCCTTGTGGAGTCCCTGTCCTCTCCAGATCTTACTGTTTCCCACTTCTTTCCTAAGATTCCCTGCACTCTGCCCAAAGGTTGCCCATAAATCTCAGCATCTACATTGGTAGTCTGCAAGGCAGAACTTTTCAGAGGTCCTCTGTGTCAGTCTCTTAAATTACTTGAATCAAGTCAGAAATTCTATTAAATAATCATCAGGGATTACGAAACCATCAATTCTTTTAAACATCTCTCTGCCATGAAGGTGCATCTTTACTATAATTGGCAGGAAATCTGCCCAACTGGGTGAAGGAATAGACAGTGAGGGTCTCTGCCACACGAGATATGTGAGACAAGCACGGAAAGGCAATCCTGCAACAATAAGCAGTCTTGAGGTAAAGTCCCTGGGGTTTTGCCTAAACCAGAACTACACCCACCTGTCAGCTGCCCCCAGGAAGTTCTCTTGCTTTTGCCAATCCAGCATGTAACTGCTCCCAGCACTGTGGCTGGTCTCACAGCCACAGCTCCCTCAAGACAGCATGGTGGACTGTCAGTCATCCATGTGAACTGTGGCTTCCCGGTCATTATTCTGCCCATCCGCAAACCCTGCTGCCCTGAATCCTGCTCCACTGGGTAGTGGGTACTCTGTAGACAGTGGATCTTCATACTTTTAGGGTGAATCATCTCTCCATAAAGACATGGACACCGTCCACAAGTGCCACAACAGAACTGAAGTAAGAAAACTTTCAGACCTCAATGGTGAAAGGTACGCAGGAGTGTTAGCAACTGCTGGAGAGGCTGATCTGTCCCCAAGAGGACCTGCATGTTGCATGCAAGGTAGGGAAAACACACATGAGAAATCGAACTAGTGCTGGCTTTACCTCTATTTCATTTCCACTTTGGCTTTCTTAGTTATATTGTCATTTTGAAACAGTGTCTCACTCTGAAGCATTGTCTGGCCTGACAGTTGCTATGTAGACCAGGCTGGTCTTTAACTAACAGAGATCTGCCTGCTTTTCCAGAGGCCCTGAGTTCAATACGCAGCAACCACATGGTAACTCACAACCATCCATAATGGAATCTAATGCCTTCTTCTGCTGTGCAAGTGTGTTTGCAGAGCACTCACTCACTAAATAAACAAACAAACAAACAAACAAACAAGTAAGTAAATTAAACCAAAGATCACCCAGACATAGCAGGGCATGCCTACAGGTATTTCCCTGAGTTCAAGATCAGCCTGATCCACAAGGTAATTTCCACCCCCTTTTAAAATAAACAAATGAAGGCAGGTGTGGTAGCACACACCTTTAATCCCAGCACTCAGGGATGAGGAGGTTGACAGATCACTGTAAATTCAAGGCCAGACTGGTCTACAAAGTAAGTCCAGAACAGCCAAGGCTACACAGAGAAACCCTGTCTAAAAAACAAATCAAAGAAATAAACAAAACAACAACAAAAGGATACTGGTGTTAGTGTGGTACTTACTTTGAGCTCCTACCATTAGGCAGTTTTCACCATTTTTTATTAATAAATCTGTGTTCCCCCTCCATCTTAAGGGGAAATAAACTTCTAAAGACAGATGCTGGAGATGAAGCTGGGATAGGGTCCTTACCTAGCTTGCAAGAAGCCGTGGGTGGGTGTTCCAACCCTGGCACTGTACAAAGAGGCCCCTTTGTCTGAAACCTCATTTAAGAGCCATCAGGGACTGGAGGCAGGGGGGATGGATCTGTCTCAAGGTCATCTTGGCTACATTAGGTTCAAGGTTGCCATTGGCTCCAGGAGACCCGGCTTTAAAACAGCAAAACAAACCAACAAACAAAAAAGAATCCAGAAATGGGGGCTAGAGAGATGGTTTTGATAGAGGACATGGGTTTGGTTTACAGCACCCATATCGTGGCCCAAACTAATATGTCCAATCCAAGGGGATCCATGTTCTTCTGGCCTCCTAGAGCACCAGGTAAATATATGTACAAACACACAAATGCAGGCAAAACAATCTCAGACATGAATAAGAACAATCAGTAAAAAAGACAGAGACCCTAGAATTTGGTTAGCTTAGCCAGAAATACCAAAACTCAGGAGGGTGAGGCAGAGCTTAGGGAGGCATGCTTGTAACTCCAACATTCCAGAGACAGAAGCAGCATTGTAAACTTCAGACATCTTGAGCCACATGGACAGTGCCAAAGTAGGCAACAGAGCATAACTGTCTCAAGAAACAAGACCGTGAATTAATAAAAAATATATATATACGAAATATATATGATTATATATATTTGAGATGAAGGCAAAGCTGCCCTTGGCTCCAAAATCACTCTCCAATCTGCTCAACAGAAGACAGAAATGAGAATTCTTCTATCACACATGGTGTAAAGTCTTCAGTGGGGAGTGCTGGGCTGGGAGAGATGGACTGGGTGCCCTGATGTAGGCAAGGGACTTACCAGACAGGCACTGGTGAAAGGTCTCCTATGCCAACAGGTCAGGAGGTGACTCCAAGATTCAAAGTGTGTCTCTGGCTCCCTGAGACTTTTATCCACCCTTCCATTCACATTTCCCCTTTATGGCTCCACCCCCAACCACAGGCAGCCTCTTCACTGAATTGGTTGAGTCTCCATCTAGAGAATTCTAATTAGCATTTTTGGTGTGTCTAGGTTTGATGAATCAGATCACCTTCAGGACAGAATGAACAAAGACTAGGGAGAAAGACAATGACCCATTCCTGAAACCCTGCACCCAGCTCCTTGGGAGAGTGATACATTCAGGGCCTGGATACACTGAGTTCATAAGCTGCCTTGGCACTGAGGAAGAGCCTGCCTCAAAAGACAGAAGTGCTGGGCAGAATGGCACACATCTATAATCCCAGCACTCAAGAGGCAGAGGCAGGTAGCTCTCGGTGAGGTTGAGATGAGCCTGGTTTAGACTGTCAGTTCCAGGACAGCCAGTGCTAGAGGGCAGACACTTCAAAGAACATCAAATTGTTGAATAGCTAGGTCACTCACCTGGCACCTACATAGCACTTCAAAAAGAAGTCTCACTCAGGAGGCAAAAGCATTCACATGTCTTAGTTAGGGATCATTTTGTACTTCAAAATGATTTCCAGGCCAGCCAGAGCTGTATATTGAGAACAAGACTCAACAAGCCAAACCAAAACTAAGCAAAGGGGGAAACAAAAAGAGAAAGTAGGGCATGGTGATTTACAATTTATATCCCTCTACAGCAGAGGCAGGTGAATCTCTGTGAGTTCAAGGCCACCCTGCTTGGTCTACTGAGTGAGTTCCAGGGCTGCCAGAGCTACAAATTAGAAATGTTTTATGAAAAACTAAAAGAAAGCTGTCCTTTTGAAAGGGTTAGACTAACTTTGTAACCTGTATGTCTTCTAAAGCCTATAGTTTTGAGTTTTAGGTTCAGGTTAAGCTAAAGCCTCTTAGTACCTTTCCAGAGAATGGAAAAATGTGACCCTATCTATGAGGACAAGGCAAGCAAGCAATGACCTTCACTCAGCAAAAAAGAAAAACTCCTGTCTTTGAGATAGCATTTCTTAGCAACAGACCTAGACTTCTTCTGAGTAGCTTTTGACCTCCAGCCAAAAGTCTGTAGCCCCTAATCTTCAAGGATGAGCTAACTACCCCCACCTTCAATTGCAGCTGCATCCACACTTGGCAGGACTGGCCAAGCTTGAGCACCTAAGACTAACCAATTATCTTATTTTATAGCTTCCTCATCCA